TGACCTTGGCAAGCTTGGTGTCTAGTTTGGCAACAGACCCTTCTCACAAATTTCAATATTCAATTAATTTCGATTTGCAATCAACATTGCACGAAGCAACATAGTATTAAATAAGTTGGACAGAAAACAAAATGCAGGGAAATACATTTTAATGTAGAAGGACAATTTTAAAAAAACCTAACAAATGGATACCTGATCTGGGTCTATGCAATTTGTCAGGGATAATTAGCAGAATAAACAACATATACCTTGATCTACGGGCGCGTTTTTTTTTGTTGGTGTTTTTTTTTCAGTTTTACTTGAGGATATAAGATATCTCGTGTTCATTTATAGATGCCAAAACTGATCTAAATTCCAGATACCTTTAGCCGATCATATTGAAGTAAAATCAACAAACGGCAGCACAGACTGGATACAATCACGGTTTAAACGGCAACAATCCCACTGCAGGAGTACAGCTACTGCAAGGAATGAAAAACAAATAAACGATGACTAATGGACTAAAAGAATCTAATTTTACATCATAGGTTTGCAGAGTCTATTCCCACTCTTGTAAACTCTGTTTACGAGCACCACTACTAACTTGAAGCATGTACCATTGAATAGCAGAAAACTGTCAGATGTTGGAACGAATACTATCATAGATTATGCCATTCCGGGTAGACGTTCTTATGTATGCGAGACGGTAATGACATGCCTGATGCAATGAAGTCTAACTTGTATATTATAATTCACGAACAAAATCAAAATAAACAGCTTTCTTGATACATCAAAAATACGTTATATTTTATGGCACTATTTCTATGACAAACTTTTCAAGGCACTAATTTCACAAAAATCACATGATTAACAACAGCGATCTGTTTCAGATTAGAAGTTAACGCATATATCACAACGATAACTACTGCGATCTGTACCAAATTAGTCACTAATTCTTATATCACGTCAGTAACAACAGCGATCTGTTTCAGATTAGAAGTTAACGCATATATCACAACGATAACTACTGCGATCTGTACCAAATTAGTCACTAATACTTATATCACGTCAGTAACAACAGCGATCTGTTTCAGATTAGAAGTTAACGCATATATCACAACGATAACTACTGCGATCTGTACCAAATTAGTCACTAATACTTATATCACGTCAGTAACAACAGCGATCTGTACCAAATTATTCACTAATACTTAAATCATAAGCTTGAGGGGATTGCACCGGTAAAAAGTCTCTGGCAATCATTTGTAGGTGGCCTATACTGCAGTAGGAATGACGGGCAATAACTAATAATTAACTTAAATCACATCGGTAACAACAGCGATCTGTACCAATTACTATCTACTACTTATATCACAACAGTAACAACAAGGATCTGTATCAAATTACTATCTAATACTTTTATCACAACAGTAACAACAAAAATATATAAAGGTACCAATCTAATTTGGCATATAGCTATAATATACTGATTAATAGATAGAGATGGGCACAGTAGAAAATTAAACTGTTAAAAGTAATCCACAAACTACGTGATTTATAAACATTAGTCATTTTATATATTCGTCACTAACATTTTAACACGTGAATTTTGATTTGTACGATTTTATTAAATACGACTGATTTTACTGTACCTCAGTCTTTCAGTCCGGCTAAACAAAATTAGAAGACTGTATTGAAAATAAATAAATTATTATATGTATTTGTTATGAAAACGATACAATAAGTAAGCGTGATAATCGCGCGAGAAGAAAAACACCCCTTTCTGCAATGAAATAGAGTACATACGGCTTTATTTCTCTTTTTTTTGGTCAAACTGCGTAAAGGAAGGGCCACTTAAGACAAGTTGTTGTCCTTGGGCATATTTGAAGCATGTGATCAGTAGGAATAAATGGTTACATGTATGTTACACGTAACACACACACACACACACACACACACACACACACACACACACAGAGCATTAATTCTATACTCTTTGAAATCAACACGGATGTGGAATGTTCACAGCATTTTTAGTAAAACATTATTATGAATCTTGACACTAGCCTCGTGCAAATAGTTTTTATCCAAACGTTGAAGCAACTGGTATATTGGTCAAATAATGTGAGTCTAGTTTATATTCATGTTTATCTATCATCTCCTTTAACAGTCGTAAATATTGTCTTTTATCTTCCACTGCATGACACTTAATGCCGAGAATACTTTGTTTATAATTTACATACATTTCTAGTTTGACTGAATTATTAATAAAATGTAGTTCAATAATTTAGTTCTTCTACGGATTTCCATAACATCTCTTTTCTATGTACATTACAATAAAAGTGAAAATGGAACTTTCATAAGCATATAAAGTTTCATAAATCTAATAATTCAATTCATGACAAGAAAACATTTGTGAAGAAGTATTTTTGTTTTCATGGGTTTAACATTTTTTAGCATATGGTATGCTAGGCACGGTAGCTAGCATATTTAGTTGAGAAAGAACCCAAATAACACTCCCACAAAATCAAAAAGAAAACCAACAAAAAAAATCCCACTGACTTGCAGGATACTAGTGGTATCATTTCTTGCCTTCCCATGTTGGCCGAGACTCGAACCCACGAGACAAGAGTTGAGATGTCATCTGTAAAGGCGAGCGCATGAGACCACTAGGTCAAGATTTTACAAGAATTAGTGAGACATGATAATGAGATAATGGAGCCAAAACAAGGCTGTACAGTTTTCTCCAGACACTTGTCCAATACAAGTGACTTGAAAAAAGGTTACATGTCATCAACAATTTTTTACTAACCCCGATTTTTTATTTCATATTTTCGTCTTTTTCCATTGTCTAATGTAAGTAACGTTGTACAGTGACAGCATATGTTATAATGTAGATATGACTGTAGAAGCTTATCAAATGTAGAATATATTTCCTTATATTTAGTGCAAGTCTTCCTCTTCACACACACACACACACACACACACACACACACACACACACACACACACAAACGCGCGCGCTGGCAGAGAAGATTATTAGTCATAGACGGAATCGTATGCCGTAAATAGAGACTAAATAATTAATATTTTACAATTTTATGACTGGAGGAAAATGTAGATTCGGCAGAGATTAATCGACCTGAATATATCTTTTTGTTTTTTAGATCTTATGCAATTCACAAGTGTACCATATCAAATATCATAGATGTGTATGCTAAGGGAGAAAATGTAATGTATCAATATGCTCACGTCTTTAGCGTATCAAAAGTGTGCTATCGGCATGCCGATCTAACATACATTTTTTTTTGTCTAGTACATTCACAATCGTTTCAGACTTGCAAAAGAAACGTAATATATTCTTATAGATTAGTATCTGTTTACCTATATTTTCTTCGTGTCGGCCACTTTTACAATATTTGTTTTCTGGATAATTCCTGATGTTGAGTAATTTCAGCTTATAGAAGGAGAATTAATTTTTATTAATTATACAGCAGAGATTATAAATATCAAGAAATATCAAATGTATCATATGCTATTAAATTAAATTCAAATCCTTTCTCATAATCTGTCTAAATTTATTGTGACAGACCTATGACTTTGAACCGATACCCAGAGACGCAAAGCAAGCCGAATCCAAGAAAACCAAATTATACAAGATAAACTCCAAAATATCTATTGTACTGTTTTTGCTTTACAATCATTCAATTTGTTTGTTTATTTGAAAAATAATTGTTTCACTAAATGACCATGACTTTGTCATTGTAGTGGCTCCAATTATGACGTAGCTAAAACACGGAAAATAATAAACGTGGCTACTTCTTTGGGCTGAAGCTGCAATTTCAAATCCTAATCTCATAATGAAGTCGTAATCTCCAACAAGACCGTAATAAACGGTCGGATTTTTCTCTCTGGGGTAAAAATCAAGTCGTAATCTCCATTCAGACCGTAATAAAAGGACATGGAGAATTCATCTCATTTTGTCTGTCTGTCTATCCCTGATAAACCTAAGATGCAATACTCATTTCATTCAGAGGGCAAACTCCAGCCAAAGGAGATCAATACACTGTGTCATTCATAACCAGACAGACAAGTGAAAACCAATAGACCATTTCTTAAACATCACACCATGACTCTATAAACTCACAAATATTTCGGCTTAAAGGTATCTTCTCCTCGTCCAAAAAATTGTTTTACACTGTTTAACATGGGAGGCCCCCGCCTCCAACCAACATTGTTGATTTATCGACGGCACATACATGCATCCATACATCCATACATACATACATACATACATACATACATACATACATACATACATACATACATACATACATACATACATACATACATACATACATACATACATGCATGCATGCATGCATGCATGCATGCATGCATGCATGCATGCATGCATGCATGCATGCATACATACATACATACACCTGGATGTAACTTTTCACGTTGCTCTGTAAATAATTACTAAAGTGATTTCAACAGAACCTAGAAACCACAATTGCCATAGCATTTGGAATCAGTAGATAGTTGAAATAACGTTAATTGGTTGCCTACGGAACATCTATACAAAAAGCATAATTACATCATTTTAAATGTGTTCAGGTTTCGTTTGGATACAAACATATTGAACCGAAAATATTGAATAAACTTTGCTGATTTGAAAAAAAAATAACAGTTAGTAAGCTTTGACTATATGACCCGAAAATATTCAATAAATCTTGACTGTCTGAACCAAACGGATTCAGTACAATTTGATGGTCTGAACAGAGTGTGATGAATGATTTAAATTTTTAATGTAGTTATAACAATTTTTCAGTCATATCACTAACGTCGGTGCTGTGGCAGTTTATAGTGATGTCCGGGGCATCATGCCACAGACATGTAGCATGATGTCCCACCCAGTCAAATTAACCTGGCATCAGGTAAGCCAGTCCTAACACTAACCTCTTATCGCTGAACGCCAAGCGAGGGAGCTGTTAGTACCATTATTGTAAGTCTTTGGCTCGACTCGGACGGGGATTAAACCCATGACCTCCCGCATCTGAGACGGACGCTCTAATCACTAGGCCACCGGAGTGGTGTGAACCGAAAATATCAATATAATCTAACGATTTGAACCAAACATATCAATACAATCTAATGATTTGAACAGAAAATATTAAATATAATGTTTTCAGATTTATTCTGTTTATCACGCTTCTTAATGTATCTGACTGATTCATAGATGAAGGCGCGTAGATGTAGCATTAAGATAAATAGCATTGCTTCGTTTAAAAACATCTTCCATTCTTAGATTCAAGACCTCAAAAATGCACTATGACAGTAGTTCTCAAAGTGGGCTGTACTGCATTGGCGTCACTGGAGTGGATGGGGGTGCGGACCGAACATGGTGACACCATCAGAGGTGGTGACAATGACTGCCCATAAAATGTTTGAATTTTTGTGTAGGATGTTGGTCTATAGGAGTGACACCGTGAGTTATAGTACATGATTGTCTATAAACTTTTTAAATTTTTGTGCAGGAAGAATGTCGATTGGAGGACTCCATGAGTTACCGCACTTGGTGACACCAACACTAGTGACGCCACTCCTCTACCGCCCCCCTTTTTAGGAGGGGGTTGCGGTAGGATTGCCGAGAGGGATGGGAGCTAATGCTGAATAATGCTTTTAACAGGGTAAAGTAGGGGGCGCTGAGGATAACCAAGTGGGACGGTGGCCCTAATGCCATCTTCAAATTATTTATTTTGCGTAGGAAGTATGTACCCTTTGTTAGTTTCGCTAGACTAACTTCAATCTCTAATGCTTTGGATTTGCATCTAAGCCCATCAGATATCATAAAAGAAATTTATTAGTTTGAACAATCGTCCCTTGTGGAGAGTTATATTGATGCTAAGACACTTATTTAGTGCCTTTGAAAAGAGGACGGGATGATGTTCATAATGTATAAGTCTTAAATAGCACGCCCTAGTCACGTGCGTGTATTCTTCTTATTCATTGCTTTATTGAAATACCTGTAGTTGTATTTATATATATATGATAGAGAGCAGACTATGTTTCAACTGCTTACAATTTCTTAATCTTATCGCACTCAATATACACTCAGTTAAAATCTGTAAGCAGTCGTCTCAAATTTAATTCAACAGAAAATATGTTAATATAATGATACGAGTGGATTAGTCTGTCTCAAGACATTATATTTTACAATGACTCTAATGTACTTTTACTGTAAAGAGGCCGGAAACCGTATAATATATTTAGTTATATATTTTAAGTTGATACGTTGTATAACAACAAATAACCACACTAACTTTGATGCCTATTATGCCATGAAGATAACTCAAATATAATATGCACGAGAGTTTTGCGTTATATATGCAAAAAATTATCTATGTATGTCTGCTGTATAACAATGATAGGATATACTGAAAATTATCTATGTATGTCTGCTGTATAACATTGATAGGATATACTGAAAATTATCTATGTATGTGTGCTGTGTAACAATGATAGGATATACTGAAAATTATCTCTCTATGTCTGCTGTATAACCATGATAAGATATACTAGTAAATTATCTATGTATGTCTGCTATATAATAATTATAGGCTATACAGGTAAATTATATATGCAGGTCTTCTATTTTCCATGCATAGTCTATCATATACGATCGAAAGTTACGACTGGACCATAAAAAGACTGCCCTGTTCTTTATCTGACTATGAATATGAAACATTTTTATGCATGGTTGTCCTTCCTCACAACTTCATTTGCCCCAAGGTCAATTAAATGGTTAAAGGAAACGAAATAGCAGCGCAAACTCTGCATGGAAAAACATTAAAGATATTATTACTCCTGATCATGTATAACCTGAAAGGTATGACTCTCATGGTTTTATTATAAAAACACGCGTTGAGAGAGAGAGAGAGAGAGAGAGAGAGAGAGAGAGAGAGAGAGAGAGAGAGAGAGAGAGAGAGAGAGAGAGAGAGAGAGAGAGAGAGAACAATAAAAACAGCTAAATTTATCTTCGTACATGATGTGTAAATAAACCTACTTATAAAGCAATTTCCCTTTAGAAGGCCGTTGAGAATGAATTTGTGAAATCTAGTTGATTTAACACTTCAGGAACACTGTAAATATGTTCACATTAAGTCAACGAATTGACCATATGAATCAGGTGTTAATAAATATTTACCTCGTTACCATTAGTATTATAGATAGTTAGGACTCGATCTTAAAATATATTGACTATGTTATCTAGTATAATGAAAAAAGCAAAAATACTTTTGAAACTAACGACGAAACAACAACAAATTTTTAAACCTTAGAAAACATGTTATTTGTTACTGCTCTTAGAGCTGAATATGGCATAAGAATATTTAGGAGTCTTCTGGGGTTGGGTTTTGGTGTTTTACGATAGTAGTTTATTTAGGTGTTTTACAACACAGCAATACAAGTAGTTTATTTGGTTTGGGGTTTTACTGCAAAGCAATACAGGTAGTTTATTTAGTGTTGAGGGGATGGGAGTAAAATGTCTTGCCCAAAAAAACTCTAGAACAGGTGGTCTGATGGTAGGACCAGAACCTTAATCCTTTCTGTTGCGAGTCTGGCACACAAGCTACTAAGTCACCACCATGAGAAGAAATGAAATGATGACTTGAACAGAGATAACTATTTTCGACGAGAATTTCGAGTTTCTAAATTAACAACGGCGCAAATATAAGTTCCCGATGTTTCGAGCTAGACAAATTCTTTGCCATGTGAATAAACAAATAACAGCCACAAAACAAAGTATATTGTGAAGGAAAAACAAAAGAAATAAAAGAATAGAAAAACGAAACAAGCAAAGAAATTTAAAAACTAGTAAGCAACATTTCTGGTTGGCCATGACGTCAGCCAAACAAAGTTGTAAAAGATAATTCACAGAAATGATTATCATGCCTATTTGAAAGAAAACCAAAATGTTTTATTTGATTATAGGCTGTGGAGAATGGCGGAAACCATTTATTGTCATTAATCAACACCATCTATAAAATTTATTAAAGAAATTATACCCCAGTAAATTTAGGCTTGGAGGTACTAAAGGAAATATGTGAAGAAAACGGAGCAGTAGAAGTGACGCGGGGGGGATGAAGATAATTGCACCCAGGTGCCAGGCTAAAGTGGCACCCTAGAGAACATCATTTTGCAGCTGAAATTTTCATAGATTTAGCCTCACAAAACTGATACTTACAGGTGGGATGGAGGTTAGGAACTAACATAGAAACTGTTCTCTGTGACAGATAGGGGCGCCACTAAATGCACATTAGCCATGGGCACTTCAAATCCAGGTTAAGTCCAAATCCAGGGCCTCAATTCGTATCATGGAAACTCCATACTCGACGTTAACCTCACTTAACGTAAAATAAAGTCGTCTCTGGATTGAGTCAAATGCTAAAGCTAAATAATAATAATAATAATAATAATAATAATAATAATAATAATAATAATAATAATAATAATAATAATAATAATAATAATAATTGTAATAATAATAAATGTAAAGAGTTAGAGAGTATTTACTTGAGTTAATATTATCGCCAAAATTGCGATCATCAAACAAACTTTTGTCTGGCATTAGTTTTGAAAAAAAATTGCATTGGGAATGGTATAATTGTTTCATTTAGGTCGAACCTTCCACGCGTTTTCAACTATAGTATTCGATATTGTTCCTTAGTGTGTGTGCGTTCTGTATGGTTCCACCCCAAGTTAACTTCAAAATGTTAGCATCTGGAGGGACTCGACTAAATACCAGTCGAATTGCAGTAATTGGTGGGTTCCAGGTTTATTATGTTGGAATGTGGCTCCTGTGTCACTATATGCGTTAAAATCAATATTATGTAGCATAATTTCCGTTGATGAACAATGTATTGGCCATAAATGTAATATATCATCATAATTCCTAATGAACAATACATTCGTGATACTTACTTACAATTTTATACATTGATCAGATATGTTAATAGATTCATATATCAATCATATATAATGAAGAGCTATACATCAAACATACGTATAGATAAATCCATATGAGCCATATCTATGGAAAGATTGACATGACTGTCATATGTGTTGATAATTCAATAATTTGGTCATTTTTTATTGATAATTTTATTCGTTGATCATCTATTAATAGATCCATAAAGTATCGTTTCTCAATGAATCAAAACCTTGATTTCTGAACATATAATAACAAATGATCACGTATCTAAACTGATAAAACCAATGAATGGATCTATCTACAAATATGACTAATAAATGGATCTATCTACAAGCAAGACTAATGTGTGTAATTTATCAACCGATATGATTGGAAGGCCATCTCTGCATAAGAGATTAAATTAAAACAAAATAAGCAACTTTCAAAACAACCAAGAAAGTTAAAATATAACAGGCATTGTTGTAAAACTAAAAACTTTAAAACTCAGACAATAAGATCGGTACTTAAATAAAACAAACGGTGCATAAATAAAACAGACAAATCTCAACAGAAACAAAGAAAATGCAAATGAAAAGGTCACACAATTAAATACCGGTGATTCAAATAATAAGAACAATATTTAAAAAAAATTGAGGTACAAGTGAAACACACGAACGTCAAAAGATAAAAGCAAATCTAGAATGAAACAAAAATCAAATATACGTCAAAAGAAACAAACGAATAAAATTAAACAAACGGCGGGCTGGTTAAGCTGTCGGTGAAGACGTTATACCAAAATCTTCCAAATAGAATAATTATAATATAGATCCGTACAATGACCGATATGTTTTCAATTAAAACTGGGAGATACATAGGATAGTTCTAAAATAAAAATGTAAACTGTGCGCCTCACAAAATTGTGTACTATGTTTTTCAATCTTAAGATTTGCTAAAATAAGAAAAGATATAAGTTAAAAGCATCTCAGAAGAATTGGTAATAAATGCAAATTCAGTGACTTCTTAAGTAACAGGAATGTCAACGTACAAACTAGATTAAATAAATGTATATAACTATTAATGAGAACATTCTTTTCACATATCAGCTCAGAACAATTATGTCGA